TGGAATGCCCAAAGGTAGTAAAATGTTATCTAGAAGTATCCAGGCTCAAGGGATGAGAAATATTCTTATTGTTCTCTTGTTCAGGATGGTGCTCAATAAGCTGGAGTGTCATCAGGCACAGTGCCTTGTATGTGAGCAGCTCCACAGCAGATTCCCTTGCACAAGGTCTCTTTTAAAACTACTGGAGGACATCTATCATAATGAGCTTGTTTTGCCGATGCATCACTGTGCTGCCTCGCTCTTATGCAGGAATCTTGTTTTAAACAGAACCAGGGTCATCTGGATGTCATCTGTTGGTGCCAAAACTGGCACACCATATACAGGTAGTAGTAACTTGTAAGTGCATGCAAAGCGTATCACATAAACTTTGAATTGGACCCAGGCCTTGTTTAGATGCCATCCAAATTCCAAGTTTTTTCACTCTCTCTCCATCACATCAATTTTTAGCCGATTGCATGGAGTATTAAATGTAGATAAAAAAAATAACTAATTACACAATTTAGTTGGAAATCACGAGATGAATCTTTTGAGCCTAGTTGGTCCACGATTGGACAATATTTACCAAATAAGACGAAAATAGTACTATTCATCGGGTTCACTTTTTTTTACAATCTAAACAAGGCCCCAATTGATATGAGTTCTCCCAAAATATTGTGGTCCTTGGGAAACTAGAATTGTACGACTTGTCTCGTTGGAGACCCGGCAAGTCGTTTCCAGTTGGTGCTATAGGTACTGGGCATTTAACGCGTCTATGACTGTTGATTGATTGTGCATTACGTTTGTGCGATGATGAGCGTAGTTGTCGCCGGTAGCAATTCCTTAACTTGCAATCGCATCACACCTTTGGGACTAGCCAATAATGCCTAGGACAGTCTTAACACATGAATCTGGTACAAGGCTATGTTGGCCCACAGGATCACCGACTCAGGTGAGTGAATCACTTACCAGTCTTGTCGAGCACCTGCTAGTGTTCACTACGTAAAAAACGGTTTGTACCAATGGGACAGTTTTTTTTTGTAGGGGCGGTTGGTGATGGAGCAACCCCTAGAGTGGCGTGCTCGAGAGCCCAGAGACCAGCCGCCCCTACAAATTGAACAGCAGGGGCGGCTGGTCATACAAGCCGTCCCTACAAATGGGTCGCGGGTGTGATGATGTGTGCCACGAGGGCCTTCTCGGCGTCCGTGTCGGACGGTGGGCCCCCATGCCGAAGTCCTTGTGGTGGTGGGAGAGCCGGGGTGGACGGCGGCGTTGGCCGGCTCCGCGACGTCCAGCCGGTTGTACCTGGAGTTGCCGTTGGTGGCGGCCGACGAGCTCTCGAATGCAGGTCGTTGCCCCGGTACTGCGCGTAGGACCGCTGCGAAGTGAGGTGCGACGCGGATGCCCTGACGGAGCTAGACACACGCGGGACCGCCTGCTGGTCGCTCCTGTTGTACCACGTCGGCCAGAAGCCGCTGCCGGTGTGCAGCATCGCCGGCCCATGCACGGCCACGGCGGGTGGCTCGATGCAGAAGCCTGGCACGCTGTCTTCCAGCGAGCTGTAGTGGTGGCTGGTGCTCTTCTGGTTGGCGCGCAATGGCGAGGTCCTGAGCTGGCACGGCGCCCTTGGAGTCGTCTCCTTCTGGATTGACGGATACAGAGCCCTTGCCTCCGATGCCCGCTGTGTTTTGCCTGCTGGCCTCCTGGCCTCGGAGCTGTTAGGACCGACGGTGGCCGCCGAGCCCAGATCGCCACCGGCGAGCTCAAAAACTCCGAGATGGAAACACAACGCACGCGAGAGTTGGAGACAGTTTTTTTTACCGCACGACTGCGTAGATTTTGTTGCCGTTTTTCATTCAATATATGTGAATGCATTACATGGGCTTGGAGCCCTCCGTCCCCGCCACGACGCCGGCACTGCACGGTGTGTCCTCATTTTTCGGATCGCCCGTGTGACATGCACGGCGCACGACGTCGTGGCGAGAACTCGTCAAACCAGCGTGCGGTCACAGCGTGTCCTATGCACATCTCTTGTCCACCTGCGATATCTATGCACTATAACCAAACGTGCAACTACTTAAGATGCAGATACATCGATTACTACCTAAGACGCAGATACATGGATAGGATTACATTGTGACCGTTCGAACAAATCACCCCCTTAATCCTGTCGTACATTGACGATCCCCAGCCTCGGTCTAAGCTCGACGAATCTGATGCGGCCCAAAGCTTTGGTCAGAATGTCAGCCAGTTGATCATCAGTTCCAACGTGATCAACATCCACAACGCCGTCACTGATGTACTCACGTATGTAGTGGTACCGAGTGTCAATATGCTTGCTTCTCTCGTGAAATACTGGATTCTTGCTAAGCTCAATGGCATACATGTTGTCGACAAGCAATCTGAACTTCTGAACCTCCTTACCTGTTAAGTTTGCTACTAGCCTGCTAAGCCAAACACCCTGACAAGCGCCTGAAGCTACCGCAATGTACTCAGCTTCACACGTGGACAGGGACACTCCTTTCTATTTTTGCGAAGTCCAGGTCACCAAATTAGAACCTAGGAAGAAAGCAACTCCAGTAGTACTCTTGCGATGCACAAGATCACCCCCATAGTCATTGGTAGTGTATTGTTGGGGTTTAGTCCAACATCGTGTAGCGATAGTGGGGAGCACAACATATAAGGCGGGAGAACCCCCACCTATCAGGTTAGTCTTTTGGGTTGGGAAGGCCCAATGACTTATATGTTGTAGCTCCGGTGGACCTGGGACCTATGGGAGCGTAGGCTCATGGTAATGAGCCAGGCCAGCTGCAAGCCAGCTCCAAGATTGAGAACTCAGTGGTCACCATCGGTTCCAACAATTGGTATCATGAGCCCATGGTAAAAAAAGCTAAACCCGATAAAAAATCTCGAGCGTCACATGTGGCGGGGGCACCTCGATATGTGACTAAGGGAGAGATTGTTGGGGTTTAGTCCCACATCGTGTAGCGATAGTGGGGAGCACAACATATAAGGCGGGAGAACCCCACCTATCAGGTTAGTCTTTTGGGTTGGGAAGGCCGATAACGAGCCGGACCGCCTGCAAGCCAGCTCTAAGATCGAGAACTCGGTGGTCACCACCGATTCCAACAGGAGCTTGGCGTCTTACTCCTTGCAGGGCGGGTACTTGGCTAGGCTCGCCTGATCACACGCCAGCGGCTTGGTCCTCGCTGTCCAGAGCAGAGGCCACCGTCCCCCGTGCCGACGGCTTGATGGCGAGCAGCGTGTCCAGGAGCGCCACTACGGGAATTAGGAGATTTGCCGAGTGCCCCTAGCACTCGGCATAGCCTAAAAAACACTCGGCATAGGTTTGCCGAGTGTCACACTCGGCAAACGACACTCGGTGAATTTTTATCGGCAAACAGACTTTGCCGAGTGTTTTTTGTCGGACACTCGGCAAAGACTTCGCCGAGTGCCCAAAATACACTCGGCAAACATTTTTTCGAAAAACAAGCCACCACAAAAAAAGCCACTCGGATCCAGCGGCCACGAGCCACCACCGGCCGCCATCACCACGCCACCGCCGCCCACCACCACCACGCCACCACCCGCCACGCTGGGGAAGAGAGGGAGAGGAGGGCGCGGCCGCTGGATCCGGGGAAGAGAGGGAGAGGAGGGGGCGGCCGGGCCAGATCTGCCGCCGGGGAAGAGAGAGGAGGGAGAGGGGCGCCGGCGGTGGGAAGAGAGGGAGAGGAGGGCGGGCCCGCGCATGATACGCCGTCGGGGAAGAGAGAGGAGGGAGAGGAGGGGGAGGGGCGCCGGCGGTGGGAAGAGAGGGAGAGGAGGGGCCGGCCGCACCGGGGACGGATCCGGGGAAGAGAGAGGAGGGGGCGGCCGCGCCGGATCCGCCGCCGGGGAAGAGAGAGGAGTGAGAGGAGGGGGAGGGGCGCCGGCGGTGGGAAGAGAGGGAGAGAAGGGGGCGGCCGCGCCAGGGCCGGATCCGGCCTCCCCGTGCGCCACCGTCGCTGGATCCGCCCACGCCGGGGCCGGATCTGGTGGAGGCGGTGGAGGAGGGAGGGAGGTGCGTCGGCGAGAGAGGAGGGGAGGGCGGGCCACGCCGGCGAGGGAGGAGGGGAGGGCAGACCGCGCCGGCGCCAGAGAGGGAGGAGGGGAGGGCGGGGCCATGCTGGGGCCGAGAGGGAGGAGGGGGTGGCGCGAGGGAGGTGCGCGGGGAGGGCGCGATGTGTGCCCGTGCGCGGAGAAGGGGAGGGGGCGTGCGGACGGCGTGGGGAGAAGGGGAGCCCGCGGTGCTGGGGTTAAAAAAAAGATTTTTTTTTCGTTTGCCGAGTGTCCTAGATCTGGGCACTCGGCAAAGATTTTTTTTTCATTTGCGATACCAGAGCGTGACGACGTGGCTGGTCATGGGCTGTGTCTTGCCGGGGTCAAAGAAGTTGGCGACTAGCGAGCCCAAAGTAGGTGATCCGGAGCATGCCGTTGCCGCCGATGAGGAGGTTGGAGCCCTTGATGTCCCGGTGCAGGACTCCACGCGCGTGGCAGTGGCGTAGGCCCTCGAGGATCTGACGCATGAAGCACTTGACCTGCGGCTCCGTCAAGCGCTTCCCGGACAGCGCGGCGAGGCCGGTGAGGTCGTGCTCCATGTAGGCATGTACTCGAAGACGAGGTAGAGGCTGTGCTAGAGGCGTGAGGTGACGATGCCTTCTAGCTTGATCACGCTGGGGTGGTCCAGCCGCCGGAGGATGTGGATCTCCCGCAGTCCCACGCCATGAATCGCACGCTCTCTAGGTCCATGTCGATGAAGTACACCCGCTTCAGTGCCATGATCTTGCCGCTCTATAGGTCCCACGCCTTGTACACGTTGTTGTACATGCCCTGCCAGATCTTGTCCAGCCGCTCGAACGTGCCGGCACGGCGAGGCAGCCACCCTCGACGATCTCTTCAGCGACGGACGTTAGCCAGGAGGGCCATCCGGCGATGATGTGCTCGCCGAAGAACCCCTACGGCACACTGGAGATCACCTGCTCCGCCTACGCGCCACCGCCACAGTCCGCGGCCACGCTGTTTTTGTTCCCGCCGATGTCCACCGTGGCGCACCGGTGGTGCGTGGGCGCCCCTATGGGGCCGTAGGACTTACTGAGGGATGTGATGACCACCACGGGAGGCGCGGTCTTCTCCATGACCTCTTTGGCCAGAGCGGGCGCGACGATGCTGCCGTTGGCCTTGGCGTTGGATTCCGTCTGGGAGATGACGGCGTGCACGACGACAATGTCCTCGTCCTTGGCGGTGAGCGTGATGAGCTGCTTGAGGGACTGGCTTGACGCCTTCTGCAGGTGCGCCACGGGGTGCGGGGCGGCAGGTGGCACCTCCACGACGCCCTCCTTGGAGCAGAGGTCGCCCATGGTCGACAGACGGTGGCTGCCACGAGCGTTCCCGCCAAATCGATGCCGGCGACGCACGGAGGAACGAACGCGCTAGGTTGGACGGTGGGTTTGACGTCAGCTCACGAGTCACGACGCGTTGGAAATAAGGATGTGGTGGCATAGGCGGTCAGCACGGCGAGATGACGAGGGACTGAGGTAGAGCTACGATCAGCGATGGACGAGGGACCGAGGGCATCGAGGGCGCGGGTCAAGGCGCGATGGCATAACTGGTGGATCGCGTACCTCGTCACGCATGCACGCACTTCAGCATACTTTTTGCTTCGTCTTTGTTTGTACGAGTTCATGGCCAACGGCTCACTCGACAAATACATGTTCGACCGGCAGCGCATGGTACGCTCGTCGGAGCTGCTCGCCATCGCCGTTGGCGTCGCGAGAGGCCTCTGGTACCTGCATGAGGAGTGCTAGAAGAAGATCATCCACTACGATGTCAAGGCTAGCAATGTCCTCCTGGATGACTCCCTGACGCCGAAGCTCACAGACTTTGGGCTGGCACTGCTGCTCAGCAGGGCAGACGTGCACGCCTCCGTGCACGTCCCGCGTGGCACCGTCGGCTACATGGCGCGCGAGGTGATCGACATCGATGTACGGTGATCACCGAGAAGTGCGACGTGTACAACTTCTATTAGTTGATCTCCACCAATAGGCCCAACGGCCTATTGGGCCCTTGTCTTTGCGCCCTGATCGAGGGCGCCCAACCCTAATACGGTTGGTGGGCCCCTGTCGCATAGCACACATAAAAGGAAGGTGGGGATCAAGGCTCGGACTGCGAGGTTCAACGGAGCTGTCGTGATCCCACCTACAGTAACCCTAAACCGATCTTAAGCGTGCTGCCAGCGACGGGATGCCCCACCGACACCGTCGCCCCACTGCAGGGTCACCACCGTACCACTACGGACTCCACCGAGCCGGAGCTGCCGCTACACCGGCGTCCACGTCGCTGCGGTGAAGCTCCGAAGGGAAAAGGAGGCTTTACCCGTATCTATGGTTACACAGAGGTACATGCATAAAAGGAAAGTATATAAAGAAAAGTAAGAAAGATGACAAACGATGCGTAGGAATTTTACAGATTATTCACACTGTCGTCTGTGGTCAGTTTCCTGTAAAGAGTGTGGATGGTTGTGATTCGTTCATAACATTCACAAATGATTACTCCCATTATGGCTATATTTGTCCAATCAAAGAAAGAACAGAAGCATTGGATAAATTTAAGATATTAAAGATTAAGATAGTCAGGTCTGACCGTGGGGGAGTACTACGGTCGACATACCCCATATGGCCAAGTTCCTGGACCTTATGCAAGGTTCTTACAGGAGAATGGCAAAGTAGCCCAGTATTCTATACCGGGCGAGCCTCAGCAGAATGGAGTAGCTGAAAGACGTAATCGTAAAATGAATTGATATGGTGCGTAGTATGATAAGTTACTCCACCTTACAGTTGAGCCTGTGGATGGAGGCGTTAAAAACCGTCATTCATATTCTCAAAAGAGAACCAAGTAAGTCGGTGCCCAAAACATCGTATGTGTTGTGGACAAGAAAAGTACCCTCACTAAACACTTACGTGTGTGGGGGAGCACAGCTGTGGCTAAAGTATTTAACCCAAACATTGGGAAGTTAGATCCCAAAACAGTAAGTTGCCATTTGATTGGCTACCTAGAAAAGGAAAAAGGTTTTTGTTTTCTACTGTCCAGAGAGACATACAAAGTTTGTGGAAATGAGACACGCTGTCTTCCTAGAGGATGAATTGATGAGGGGGAGCATGGTAGCTCGAGAAATTGACCTTGAAGTGAAGCAGGTGTATGCGCCCACTCCAATGATTCATGAGCCATTTTTCTCACTACCTGCTGTCGCTGCACCGACAGTGCTAGATACTGTGGTGCCAGCACCTGTTGTTATCCCACCTGTGGCAACAATGAATGACGATGAGGAACCTGTACTTCAGGATCCTATAGAACCTATTGCCACACATGAGGGGGAGCAACAATAGCCTCAAACAGAAGATGTGCCAAAAGTGGAGGTCCCTAGAAGGTCTCAAAGAGTTAGAAAATCAGCTATTCCTACTGATTATAAAGTGTACAACACTAAGAAATTTCAAATGGAGGATGACACGACCTCGTTTGAAGAAGACATGAGTAGTGATCATTCATAAAAGTGGCTTGAGGCCTTGGAAGATGAAATGAAATCAATAAATGCCAATAAAGTTTGGGGCTTGGAAATAATTCCTAAAGGAGCCAAAACAGTAGGCTGTAAATGGGTCTACAAGACTAATCTTGACTCTCAAGGGAATATAGAGAGATATAAAGCGCGACTTGTGGCAAAAGGCTTTATGCAAAGAGAAGAGATTGATTACAATGAGACCTTTTCTCCAGTCTCATGTAAAGTTTCCTTCAGAATCATAATGGCATTAGTGGCACATTACGATTTAGAATTACATCATATGGATGTAAAACGACATATCTCAACAGAGACTTGGAGAAAAATATTTACATGGCACAATTGAAAGGTTTTGTCATGGAAGGAAAAGAACGAATGAGATGCCGCCTAAAGAAATTCATTTATGGATTAAAACAAGCTTCAAGACAGTGGTACTTAAAGTTTGATCAGACAATAAAGAATTTTGAGTTTAAAGAGAATATAGAGGACAATTGTGTCTATACAAAGTTTAAGAATGGGAAGTTTACCTTCCTTGTCCTGTATGTGGATGATATCTTACTTGTTGGTAGTGATGTCAGTCTACAACTGGAGACAAAAAAAGTTTTTGTCCTCAAAATTTGATATGAAAGATCTTGGTGAAGCCTCGTTCGTTCTAGGGATCGAGATTCATCGAGATAGAAGAAAAGGGGTATTAGGACTGTCACAAAAGTCATACATAGAAAGAATCTTAAAGAAATTCAGTATGCACAAATGTAGTCCCTCACCTGCTCCTATAGTCAAGGGCGATAGATATGGGGATTTTTAATGCCCCGGGAACCAATATGAGCTCAATCAAATGAAAGTGGTTCCATATGCTTCAGCTGTCGGAAGCTTGCAACATACTCAAGTATGTACACGCCCTGACTTGGCATTTGTTACCGAGTTTTACTTGACAGATTCCAGAGCAATTTTGGAATAGAACACTAAAATTAGTAAAGAAAGTCTTGCATTATTTGCAAGGAACGAAAGGCCTTATGATGACATATAGTAGATCTGATTCACTCTACATAGTGGGATATTCAGATTCTGATTATGTGAGAGATGATAGAAAATTAAGAAAGGATATGTATTCACTCTCGCAAAGGGGGAGCTATTTCATGAAAAAGCTTAAATCAAACCGTCACTATATCACCCACAATATATGACAGTTTGTAGCGTGTTATGAGGCAACGAACAGGTGAACTGACTAAAGAAGTTCATACCCGGTTTGAAGATGGTTGACGACATCTATAGACCACTTAAGTGACACTGCGATAATAATCAGGCAGTACAGTATACTCACAACATAAGTCAAGTGGTGCTGCCAAACACATTGACATAGAGTATTATGTTGTGAAAGATAAAGTCCGGGATCAAGTCATAAGTCTTGAGCATATAAGTACATAAAGGATACACGCGGATCCGCTTACAAAAGGCTTACCACCCAACGTGTTCAGATAAAATGTAGCTAGCATGGGTTTAAGGGAAAGCCTAAAATTCCTGGACAAAAGAAGGTCCAAAGATAAGTATCTATTTCAGAACATAGTAGTGTGTTGTAGCTGTTAAATCTATCGATAATGGACCGTGACGATGAGACATGCTCTATGCGCTAATCTGTAATGGAATGAACAAAAGTAAATGATATGAAATTGAAAGATAGTTATGAGATCAAGGGGGGGAATGTTAGTTGATCTCCACCAATTGGGCCCTTGTCTTTGCGCCCTGATCGGGGGCGTCCAACCCTAATACGGTTGGTGGGCCCCTGTCGCACAGCGCACATAAAAGGAAGGTGGGGATCAAGGCACGGACTGCGAGGTTCAATGGAGCCATCGTGATCCCACCTACAGTAACCCTAAACCGATCTAAAGCATGCTGCCAGCGACGGGATGCCCCACTGCAGGGTCACCACCGTACCACTACGGACTCCACCGAGCTGGAGCTGCCTCTACACCGGCGTCCACGTCACTGCGGTGAAGCTCCGAAGAGCAAAGGAGGCTTTACCCGTATCTACGGTTACACAGATGTACTCATTCGATCCTAACAGCTTCGGCATGCTCCTGTTTGAGGTCATTAGCCGGAGGAAGATCATAGACAACAGCTTGCCGGAGACTGAAAAGTGGCTGCCGCTGCTGGCGTGGACCATGTACGAACAGGGAAAGCTGTTGGATCCCATGAAGAAATATCATAGTCCTATGGCTGCGGAGGATGAGGAACAGTGGAAGATGACGGCGGAGATGATGTGCAAGGTGGCGTTCTTGTGCGTGCAGGACCAGCCGAAGGCGACGCCGACGATGAGTATGGTGGTGAATATGCTGGAAGGGCATTTGGAAATTCCTCCTCCGGTGTATATCCCTTGGGTTGAAGGTACACGCTCAACCTCAATAGGCGTTACGGTCGGTTTCTAGTTCTACAAGCGAGGTGTGTGATCATCATCAGGATAAACACGTCCATCAGCAGTGATATGTCTCTAATTTATTCTTTGATTATATTTTATGGCTTGTTTGTGACTGCTCCACTTCAAATTAAACTCCATCATAGAGCAGAAAAATGAGGTATTTATCATCGCAAAAGTTTCTACGCGACCCGTCGCGCTGGAGAGCGATGTCGCGACCCTGCTCCCTCTCCCTGCCGCGTTGTTGCTCCCGCACTCTTCCTCCCTCCAGCAACTGACCGCAACCGCGACATCACTGGAGACGAAGAAGACGAGCCCACTACCGTCCACTACAAATGGTTCCTATTTCCTAACGCGGTGATGAGAGGGAAATGGTTACAGACTTAAGCAGGACATTA